AAGTTTTAAAAATTTCAACAAAGGCAAAGTCACATTTGAGTGTTTAGGAGCAGTGACCCATCTGGAGATGCCTGAGCCTGAGCTTGGTAATCTTATCATCACATTTAGCAGCTTGATAGCTATTGGGAACAAGTGTTCATTACCACAAAATTCTCACATTCTCTCTGTTTATTTTATTTTTTTAAATTTCATTTTTTATTTTGTTTTTATGTTATCTTCATTTCACCACATATCTCTTAGTCCTCTCTCAGAGAGGTAGCTCTTATAACAAAGAATTTAAAAAAGAGGGGGGAAAATAAAAAGTCTAACAAAACTGAAAAGTCAGCTAAGTACGCCATTATATGTTGTGCTCCGCACTCTCACTCCCTACCTTAGAAAAAAGTGGGGGAAGTACACTCTCATATATCTTCTTTGTGGCCGAGCTTAGTCACTATAATCTCATAGCATTTTGTTCCAGTTTTGTTGCTGTTCCTTCCAGTGTAGACATTCTATGTCCTGCTTCCTTCATTCTGCTTACTTATTTCTACTTACAGTTCATGTAGAGCTTTCCATACTTGTTTGTATTCTTCATATTCATTATTTCTTAGTAAATAGTAACTTTCCGTTCCATTCACGTGACAGTGTGTTTAATCATTTCCAAATCAATGGGCATCTCTACTTTGCTTCTAGTTCTTGGATATGACAAAAAGAGCTACTACATAAATCTTGGTATATATGAGACCTTTATTTTTTAAAACAAATTTTTATTGATACATTTTGTTTTACATCATCTGAATTTTCTCCTTTATCCCACTTCTTTGCCTTTCCCAGAGAGCTATCCCATATAACAAATAATTTATTTATGAGAAAAAGAGAAAAAAATCAGCTAAATTAACCAATTAATCAGAAAAAAAATCTGAGAAGGCATGCAGTGTTCCATACCTCTGGGTCCCCTACCTCTACAAAGGAGGAGGAGTGAAGTATCTTCTCATTTCTTTTCTTTGAGACCAAACTTGTTCTTTGTAATTTTGCAACATTCATCTTCTATCGTTTTGTAGTTGTTCTTTCCATTTACATTCTTGTCATTGTATTTTTTTTCTTGGCTCTGCTTACTTTACTCTTCATCACGTAAGTCTTTCCATGCTTCTCTGTATTTATCATATTCGTTGATTCTTAAAGCACAGTAATATTCCATTACACCCATGTATCACAATTTGTTTAGCTATTACCCAATAAATAGAAATCAACTTTATTTCTAGTTCTTTGATTTGACAAAAACTACTGCTATAAATATTTTGATGTACAGGAGACCTTTCTTTTTACCATTGACATACACAGAGTATATAACTTGAAATGGGAGAAAAAAGAGAAGAAAAGGAGGGAAAAAAAGGGTGGGTCAGGGAATGATATGATTTTTTCCCTGACCTGAACCCCATAGAGATGGGTCTGGAACCTGGAGTTTCTTAGGAATGGCCTTATCCCCAAAGGTACCCTAGTATTACTTCAGTCATGGAGGTGAGGCAGTTGAACTGTGAGGGCAGAAAGGTGGCAGCTTCTGCCAATAACACCAAGAAATCAGTCTCTTCCTCATTCTGTGGCTACCTGTAGGAAAGCTTATAAAAGGATACTTAGATTAAGCCTTTGGGCTAGTATTCCTTAAACTGGCCTCATGGTTATTAGAGAGCTGATTGTGTTGAAATGTGACAGAGCAAGAGAGAATTGGGTGAGACCTCACAGGGCCAAAACAAACCCAAATTCTGGAAATCTGGTTTTCCAAGTGACTTTTTCCCTAAGTGTCTATGTTTGTGTTTCCCTGTATTGTATGTAACTATGGGGAAAGTTTCCAACATCAGTCTATACTATAAAGTTTTGGAAATCTCAAGCACAAGCTATATCAAAGGCTGTGTGTAGTGATGCCTCTGAGTCACTTCTCTAATTTCCTGGGTGTGTCCCTATATCAGACGTTATGGGACCCTGTTAATAGACTTCTAGGATCCTGAAGCATAGCTCTTATTAAGATCTTCTGGCTAACTCTGGACTAACACTGAAAATCCCAATACCCCAAGCATTTTTATTGAGCTTGTTTCAAATCTATATTGCTTCCTTATGTTATAGGTTATTTACCATTCATTCAATGAATATAGAGTCAGGAAGCCCTGAGTTCAAATCTAGTTGCCGATACTTAGTAGCTGTGTGACCTTGGGCAAGTCATTTAACCTCTATTTGCCTCAGTTTCCTCTTCTGTAAAATGAGGATAGTAATAGAACCTACCTCCCAGGGTTTTTGGGAGGATCAAATGAGATAATTTTTTTTAAAAAAAAAGATTGTAGCAGAGTACCTGGCACATAGCAGGTGCTATATAAATGTTAGTTATTATTATTATTATTATTGATTAGTGGGAGATATAACAGGAGAGGCAGCATGGGAGTAGATTATGGAAGGCTAGGCTAAGGATTGTGTGTTTCCCAAAATAGAAGTGAAAATTTCATTTCAATGATAAACCTTAAACATTTAAGGTCTGGCAGACATTTTTTTGATGGTTGCTGTTTTCCTCTTTCTGCAGAAGCGAGCTTGCTTACCTCCCAAGTTCATAATAACCAAGGATTGCTGCTCACTTAGGGACCAGCAATAGTTAAGTACCATCTGTCAGTGTGCTGGCAGAGTAGGTCTTCCCCTGAACAGCTGATTTGGAAAATCCCTTCTCCATTATGGAGTGTAATCATTCCTGACAGGAAGCACTAAGTTCCTGAGGATATAGTTACAGAGACAGAGGGGGAATTGCATAAGTAAGCTCTCTTCCCTGCATCACCTATAACAAATGTTTCTAGTCAAGGAAAATAAGAAGTCGGTTGATGTGGAAGCAGGAGGTAGCTCCTTATGCAAAGATTGCCAGAGCAACATTGATGGCACACAGCCCACTTAACAGTTGCAAAGCAGATCTCTATCACTGGGAGCTGGCAAACCTTTTGATATCATGTGACCTTTAATATTTCAATACTTAAAAATTCTGTGGGACAGTGGAGAGAATACAGGGTTTAGAATAAGAGGGTCTACATTTAAATCCTGACTGTCATTTGCTGCCTATGTAGTTTTGGGCATAAAACTTGGCAAAAGTTCACTTTATTTTTTTAAATTTAATTAATTTATTTTGAATTACCAACAGTCACTTCCATAAGCTTCTGAGTTTTAAATTTTTCTCTCCCTCCCTCCCCACCTCCTTCCCCAAGATGGCACGCAATCTGATAGAGGCTATACATATACATTCCTATTAAACGTGTTTTCACATTAGTGATGTTGTAAGTAAGAATTAGAACCAATAGGAGGAACTACCAGAAAGAGGAAACAAAACACAACAGAAGAAAAAACAGCAAATAGTATGCTTCGATCTGCATTCAAACTCCATAGTTTTTTCTTTGTATGTGGATAGCGCTTTCTATCATGAGGCCCTTGGAGATGTCTTAGATCCTTGTATTGCTGAGAAGGGTTAAGTCTATCAATATTAGTCATCGCATAACGTGGCTGTTACTGTGTGTAATGTTCTCCTGGTTCTGCTCACTTCATTCAGCATCAGACCATATAAGTCTTTCCATGTTTTTCTGAAGTCAGCCTGTTCATCGTTTCTTATAGTACAATAGTATTCCACTACATTCATATACCACAACTTACTCAGCCATTCCCCAATTGATGGGCATCCCCTCAATTTCCAATTCTTTGTCACCGCAAAAGGAGCTACTTTAAATATTTTTGTACATGTGGGCCCTTTTCCCATTTGTATGAGCTCTTTGGAATATAGCCCTAGAAGTGGTATTACTGGGTCAAAGGGTATGCACATTTTTATAGCCCTTTGGGCATAGTTCCAAATTGTTTTTCAGAGTGGTTGAATCATTTCACAACTCCACCAACAATCCATTAGTGTTCCAATTTTCCCACATCTTCTCCAAAAAGTTCACTTTATTTCTCTAAGCCTCATTTTCCTCATCTGTAAAATGGAGAGAGGATTGTACTAATGGACCTCTAAGGTCCCTTTCAATTTTAAATCTATCATCCTTTGATCCATGTGGGTATTCTCTCCACCAATGAATGTGGCAACTGCTTGTATGCCTTAGATGATTTCATAAGTTATCTATCAAAGACTATATATCAAGGAAGTGATCTGGTGGCCAACCCTGTGATGAAGGGCCTCTCCAGAGTCAGCTGGGCTGGTCCTCAGACAATAAACATATAGTCCACCTCTGAGTCTATATTGGAAACCTATCCATATTGGTAGGAATCTTTTTATTTAAAAAACAACCATTAAGGGGCAGCTAGGTGGCACAGTGGATAGAGCACAGGCCCTGGAGTAAGGAGGACCTGAGTTCAAATCCAGCCTTAGACACATAACAGGTACTAGCTGTGTGACTCTGGGCAAGTCACTTAACCCCAATTGCCTTGCAAAAACAAAACAAAACAAAAAAAATGATCATTAGGCATTGTTCAAGCAAAATGCTTTATACACACTTTTGCATTGGGTCCTCATAACAACCAAGTGAGGTGAATACTACAAGTGCTATTATCCTGATTTTACAAATGAGGAAACTGAGGCTCAGTGAGATTAAGTGCCTTGCCAAGGGTCACATAGCTACTAAATGTAAGAAGCAGAATTTGAACTCATGTCTTCCTGACACAGTAAAGTGCTCCAGCACATTCCCCAACTCATAGGATAGGTCCTTCAGAGGATGGTTACCCCAGATTCAAGGTATTCTTTGGGTTGGTACTCCTAAAATTCATGAGGCCCCTGACAGGGATATTAAATACATTAAATATGTTTATATTCAGTAATCAACCAGAGGACACAATTAGCCCAAAGCAAAAGCACTTAATAAAATGAAAGGGCAAGAAAAGTTCAACACTCTACCCACTGTACCATTGCTACCATTATACACATATGCATATACATATATATTATACACACACACACACACACACACACACACACAATACATATACAAATTTATAGCAAACGGCAATGCTACAAACCTTACTTGGCTCATGGTGTTTGATAAATGTTTATTGCCTGGCTGACCGACTTTATGCTGATGTATATTCAGTGTGCCATGTTGAGGTAGTATCTGAAATGAATAATAAGAATAATAATACAAATATTAGAAATAGTGAGGTTAGACATTAAGGTGACAGGAGCTGTGTTAACATTTTTTCTCTTTAGAATTACAGAATTTTAGAGCTAATAGGGACCACCTTTTTTATGTTGTTCCTTATCAAGGCCATGGCAAATCAATTGAAGACAGAAATTGCATTTTTTTTGAATCCCTGGCTAGCACAGTGCCTAATACTCTTGTAAGTGCTCAGCAAATTATTTGTTATTGATTGGTTTATCTGCTTAATTAGCTAAAACTTAGGACCCAGAGGAAATGAGATAATAGGACAGGCATATTTCAGAAATAAGTTATAGGAATAAGAGACACGGCTATAAGTATCCATGGGTGGTAAGGGACAACAGAAAGGTGTCAGGTCAGAGGTATGCATATTCTTAAAAACTGTAATTGTGGAGTGAAAGGAAAGAAAGAATCAAAGAAAACTTCACATATTTAATCTATTTCCTTGGAACAAATCTGATTAAATTTAGAGTTGGATTATTTTATAGGATCACTAGGAATATGTCCAAGAGCCCTCAAGATTAGTGGAAGAGAAAAGACAGCCCTTGGTCCCTCTCCTCTAGGGTGGCTAATTTTCCTTTTTTTTTTTTTTATGGCAAGAGCCTTCCATTTGGTCTTCCTGTCTCCTGCCTCTCCACTCTCCAATCTATTCTCCACAGAGCTGCCAAGTGGATATTCCTGAAATACATACCTAATTATATCACTCCCTACCCTGCCCATCCCCAACTCAGAGTTCTTCATTAGCTACTTATTGTCTCTAAGATCAAATGTAAAATCATTAGCCCCATGAGCTGGCTTCCTCCTACCTTTATAGTCTCATTTCATATTATTTCCCTTTACATGTCCTCTATTTCAGTCACACTGTCCTAGTTGCTCTCAGGGCATGGCATTTCCTCTCTTGGCTACATGTCATTGTACAAACGATCTCTCACATCTGGATTGCACTTGCCTGGTCATCTTTATCTCATGACTTCCTTCAAAGCATAGTTTGTCACTTCTTACACAAGGACTTTCCTAATTCTCCAGTTATTAGCACTTTCTTTAGAAATTATTTTGTATTAGTTATTATATGCAAATGTATTAGATAATTATTATGTAATTATTATAATTTATTTTATGATCATATTACATAATTATATAATTTAATTGTAATTTAATAATGTAATGATAATATAATATATAATTATTATATGCAAATACAATAATAAATATGTTTGTATTTATTTACTTGGGATAGGACCAACATCTACCAGTGTTCCCCCTGCCCCCACCTTCCCTGAGCATAGGCTAGGCTAGATTTTCCTTAAAAGATGACAGAAACCAGGACATGATTGACACAAGTGGGGTGGGGATAGGGTTGGGATTGGGCAAGGCTCAAGACATGCCTCCCTTGACATAGCTTCCTAGTGGCCTCCAGCTGTGTTGATGTGGCTTTCTGGTCACCATGCACAGACTTGGTGGATGTTTGAAGACAAAGCAAGTCACCGCATCCTGCCCTGGTAAAAAGAAGTACTTCTATATGGACATGGAAGAATGGGATTTGCACATCTACTGAAGCTCAATTCCATTGTATCCTTGTGGCATATTCTTGCCATCTTAAGGCTGAGTAAACTTGCTTTCATTGACTGCTCAGTGACTTTGGAGTGCCTTTTTTAGTCACTTCACTGAACCTGAACAAATAGTCAGTCTCCACCCCCAATACTTGTATAACGTGTTATACAGATTTACTCCTCCACTCCCACACTCACCACAGAATGTAAGCTGTTTGAAGGCAGAGACTGTTTCATTTTTGTCTCTGTATCCTTACTGTCTGGCATAGTGCCTTGCACATAGTAAGCACTTAAAATAGTTGGTGAGTTGAGCTTCATTGAGTAGAATTCATGATCTAGAAACCTCTGAGGGGAGTGAGACTTGGGAACCAGAGTCCTTTATTTCCTCATCAGGAAGGAGAGACAATTGATCCGTGGGATGAAATTAGAAGAGGAATGTGGGTCCTCAACAATACTGACAGGAGTGAAGATTAATAGCAAAATGACTGAGGAGTATGGCCGCAAGCACCATATATCTTTGTACCCTATGAAACGGTTCTGGTAACCTTCTGAGGAAGCAGGAAGGCTTCCTCATTTTCCTAGACCTGCTGCTTAGTTCAGTTAGAGTAGGGTATGGGGTGATGGCACCTGGACCAGAATCTTGGTTTCTAGGGGTTCCAAGGACTCTAAATCTGCCACTAAGTGGGATAAAACTCCTTCCTGATCCCCAATAACTCCTCCAGAAAAATGTTAAGTTCCATGAAATCAGTCAGTCAATAAGCATTTATTAAGCATCTACAAATTAGGGACTTTTATCATTTAGTATTTGTATCCTCAGTGCCCAGTACAGTATCTTCCACATAGCAGGTGCTCAACAAATGTTTGATGGGGTGAATTAGATTAGACAGTCACCCCTGGGGTTAAATGTCAATTATGTAACATCAGTGGTCTCTGGAAACTGTGGGTACAGAGCTTGTGGTGGGGAATCAGTTTCTACTACTTTCCCATTGAGATAGCTCCTGGGAGTCTATTTCTTTCTGTAGTATCAATGATTTGCACAAAACCACAGATACTGAATTGCCAATGTGACAAGCTGCTAATCAAGTCTCTGGCTTTAAGTAACTCAAAGCTTATTGTTATAAATCCTGTCCCTCATCATTGATGGGTGAAACAAAGTAGCTATAAATTTAGAAGATGGCCCCTTCACCTAATGTTCAGTAACAGCAACTATGCTAAATTATGTCACATAATATCTGTCATGGAATTTGTGATAGAAAATGAAACAATAAAACCTCAAATAGCAAACTTTTTTGAACCCCTTTTCATTCTAACATCAAAATCTAGCATTTTAATTTGAAAAATACCCATGACCATAGTATCAGATCTAGAGGCAGAAGGGACCTTGGGAGTCAGTGAGTCCAACGCCCCTATTTTATAGATGAGGAAACTGAGACCTAGAGAAATTCAGTTACTTAAACAAGGTCACACGGTCAGCAAGTGGAAGTTAGGATTCAAGCTTAGATCCTATGATTTCCAAGTTTGGCACACTTTCACCTCCTCAGTCATAATACTTTGTACTTAAAATGTTTATGGTACTTCTACACTAATTCTGATCCTTCCAATAGCTCCATGAGGTAGATAGGAAAAGTGTTGAATATAAATTTTCATCTCCATTTTACAGATGAGGAAAAAGCTGAGACTCAGGTGAAATTTCCCATTAGGTCACATAGTAAATGATTGTCCTTGACAAGAAGCCAGGTCTATCAATTCCTAGTTCCTTATTCTTTCCTTGGAACCTATTATTTGACATGGCACATTCTTGAGCACAAAATTAGGACAGCAGTATGCTTTTGATCTCTTTCTTATAAATGCAAACGAGGAAATCTAATAGAGCACTGGACAAAAGACAAAATGCACAGCGAAAGCATACACCCAGGTGTGGATGCTAACTCATACAATTATGTTTATGCCTTTTTCCCTCTCCAGACATGGGGTTCACAAAATGTCACACTCTTGCCTACACTAAACAATTGTGTTTGTAACCTAAACACCCATCTCGCTATTTTGCAGCACTCCTCTGTTTGCAGTAAATCGTGAAACTCTGGTCTCTGAGCTGCATGCAACCAAACTGGACTCCCTCATAATGAGGCACATGATAAAACACATCTGATGCTGGTGCCTCTCACACCCGCAGGGAATAGGGGGAACAATAAACATAAGCAAGGGGAACTGTTTGTGGCTGGTTAACTCAGTTGGTGAGAGTGTGCTGATGAGGCCAAATTTATGGGGTCAATTCCATCCCCACTGGGTTAGTTATATTCATTTTGCTCCATGAACCCAGACTGTGCACATACCTAATCAGAGAAGTAGTAGTGATTGTGGTTAGAACAATAAAAAATTAACATCATAACAGAAACCATAATTCAAAGAATATGTTTATAGAATGCAAAAAAAATTCTTTTTAATTTTTGTTTTTGGAACCTCAGAATTTATCACAGTACCTGGTTCATAATAAACACTTAATAAATACTTAATGAATGGCTGTTGTGGGAATTTATTTTGCTGGACTCTGCATACTTGTAAGAAAAGTTTTATTCTTTTCAGGTTTTTTAAAAATTGCTTAATGGGGAGGAGTTGAAAGGTACAGATTATAAATGCTATTATAATTAGGTAAATACATTTATTTTTAAAAATTAAAAATATTATTGATTGATGCCATTGGATAAGTAGTATTTCCTATGAATAAGAGGATGGCACACTAATAAGGAGGTGATAGGGCTGGTGTGTCTTGTCTCTGGTTTACATTGTCTGGTCAGTTCTGGACACTGATAAGCTGGAAAGTGTTCAGGGAAGGGAAGCTGGGATGGTGAAGAAATTTGAGTTTATGCCTCATAAAAATTTGCACAGGGAACATTGAAGGAATGGGGAATGTTTGGCCTATAAAAGAGAAGATACGGGAGGGGAAGGACATGATGACTAACTTAAAAAACGATTTGAAGGGCTGTTATGTGGAAAAGGCATTAGAGCAATGGGCAGAAATTGCAAAGAGACAAATTGAAACCTGATATAAAGAATAACTTATTAATGATTAGAGCTGTAAATTGATTGGTGGCAGCTTCCCCCTTGTTGGAGGTCTTCAGAGAAAGGTTGGATAACAAATTGTCAGTTGTGTTGTGTATATGGGAGGGGGGAGTTAAGGCTCCCTGTTGGACTCGATGGCCGTGCAGGTCCTTTGCAGGCAGCAGTGCGTTGGAGTCAGCTTGCATGGCTCAGGAGAGCTGACTGTTACATTTTCATTGTGAGCATTTACACCCTGGAAATCAGTAAAGGCTACAAATCAGGCCTTGACTGTTGTTGTTTCGTTAATTGTTTAGACTTAAGAAAGTGACAGAAAAAAAGGTCATAATGCAGATGAAACTTAAAAGT